AAAACAAAGTAAGAACTAAGTTTATGGAGTTACATTAGAGTCAAAGCACTCTCTTAAGGACCACTGGTATTCTTATTTAAAGCTGAAAGTAAATCTTTTTGTTGGATGATAAAGTAAGCATAATCCAGGAGAGCCTAGAATAAGGTAAATGTGTAATTGCACATGCATTTTCTGCTGAAATAGATTGAGATTCTCCAGTTCTTGACTTAACAACTATGCGATTATTTTAAAAGATTAGACTTTAAATGTGTAACTGCCATCTAAGATTGTTTAAAAACTGGAGCAGTGAAGAGTAGGAGTTTTCTCAGAATTTAATTCAGAGCTGTTACTCTAGGAAAAGAGCGCAGATAACAACTTTGAACCAATTCTTTGGAGCCTTACCAAGTTAAAACATTGTGAAATGCTGGGAATCCTGCAGTTTTGTCCTTGATGCAGAAGAAAGTAGCTTAGCATCCTGATTATCTGATGTTTTTCATTGTAGTCTTAGTAATTCATCCTTGAGCAAAACAGGGCGATACATTTTATCAAAAGGGGAAGAACCGTCTGTGAGGTGGATTTTACTTATTGTTGGTTGACCTTTCTTCTTCAGTTAAAATGGACCCTTTTCATCACTCTGAAGTAACTTTTTAAATTATTATTTACTTTCTAGCTGATAAATTTAGATGGAAACTGGAAGAATTGGAGAAAGAGAAAAATTCTTTAAAATTTCAACTTCCTTCAAGGCATCCTTCAATTAGCAGTTTTTTGGATAGGTTTGTTACTCAAGTTCAAGCAGCATTGCGCTGGGCTGCCAATCATCGGTAAGTTTGTTTCCTTATGATGTAAAATGATGTCTGTTTTTCTCAAAATGTGGAATACAATTTATGAATAATTTTAATAAAGAGTTTTAAGGACCTTCTCACATACCAATATGGAGCTTATTTATGAAAATCCTTTTCTACCCCCCCTACTTTTTCTTTTCTACAAGTCTTTCAGAATTGCCCTGAAAAAACTGATCATGATGAACTGGTGAATTAAATGGAACATTTCTCACTGATGTTGAGTGGGAATTGGATTGAATTCTTGACATGGCAGCTTGAGCATACAACAGCAAGGCAGCTTGAGCAGCAGTTCCCTGTGGAGTTAATTCTGGTGCCGCTTTTCAGGCAATGAAAGGCTATGTAAATATAAAGCAAAAATAGATACTTTTTTGACATGCATAGATCTTTGGGATATTCCTTTTATACGTCACTTGTTAGATGGCAATAATGTGCTCGGCAGTGTACAAAGTCACATAAATAAATTCTCAGTCTTCTGTTGAAGGGATAACAAATTCAAAGATTAGGGGAATGCGAAATATGTTGGATGACCCAAGGGAGGTAGTTAGCTGAGGAATAAAAAGTTGTCTCTCTTTGTCTCTGTGCTACTGGTTACTGTTGTTAGAAGTAAGAAGGTTCTCCATAGTTATTGGAAGCTACTCTCAAATGCAGTAGCACAAATGAAAGAAGAAAAACCTTTTGTTTTCTGGCAGCTTCTACATATAAAGGCTGTGGTGTGCTATTCAATATGTTTGGGTGTAATTTTTGATATACGTGAAACTTGGATAAAATCAGTACAGATAATAGGATTTTATTGTGAAATTTGAGACTTCTAAGTGTATTTTTAGCCTCTATTTATAGTATTTAATAATGAGGCTGGTTTAATATAAACTGCACTCCCTCAGAGCTGTTTTCTTCTGCCTTCTGAGGCCCTAAGAAGCTGTTTTACCATTCCCTAAAGATTAGGATACAGCATTCTGTATTTTGTCATTAAGACATGTTTGTGCTATGCTATGCGTTAACTTGTAATGATTTTGGCTTTAGAGGTGGTGGTGTCTTTGGTGTCATAGAAATTGAGTCACTAGAATATCCTTGAAATACATAGTCTGCTTGGTTTTTTTCCTATATAAGGTGTATATATAATATATTTTTCTATGTAAAATACGTATCCTATATAAATTTACGAAAGCATTCCTGTTCTTTGGATGATTATATCTGTAACACTTTTCTTTGCACAGGTCTGAGAGCAGTGCCATTCTTCAGGGTCAGATGAACGTCCTCTTTGCTTTTCTGTCTTGTGCACACTACTTTCTTTGAGCTTGCATTTGACTGTTGTTGTTTTGACACCCTTTTTTTTCCCCTCACTTCAACCTTTCACACTGCTTTGTGGTCTGTCTTGTTGATGCAGCAAGTGTGCCCTTTGTCTTCAGTAGGGATGTTTAAAATTTTTCTGTTCCAACAGCATTTTTAGATAATGCAGGGTGGAAAACATGACCACTTCTTCAATTAAAATTTGTAGGCTTCAGTTTTTAATTTCATTTTGAATTGGAACAAACTCAATATACCCAAGATTTCTTTTTTTCAACTGAAGAATTAAAAAGATGATCAGACTAGATCCAGAAGACCAGATCATTGCAGTTTTACTGTAGACAAGCCAGTCTCATCTTTTTGCAAATAAAGAAAATCTTAAATGAAAAGTGTGT